CAAACGTCAATTGTTTGTTTTTCAAACGTCAATTGTTTGTTTTTCAAACGTCAATTGTTTGTTTTTCACCCTTGGCGACTTTAGTGTGAAAGAATATTCCATTTACCGATATGTAAATATCAATATATTTTAATATACATGATATTATACTTTAATCTTTCGAAAACAAAACATCGACAACGTAAAAGGCATAAAACATCAAACTTCATCATAAAACTTTAAAAAAAATCATTGTTTTGAAAATGTTGACATAGATTCGCAACCTTGGTATCAATACGTCTGGCGCGTGCAGTATAATGCAGTTTCCGGCCCAGAGTTCAAAAGTATTCAAGCCTGGCTTCCACGGGTAAGGCTCCGTTGCCGAGCTACCTCACACCATCCGTTCACCAGCCGCCTTAGCCACCTGCTTCACTGTTTGCACAGGAGCAATGCGGCGACTCAAGTCAGGCTCGGCAGCTCGGCTTGCTCTATATACGTTGTTCACTCTTCACAAGGGGCCACTCGGCAGCGCTTTCGAGTGACGCTTCTGATGGCAAAGCTTTGCTTTAAATGGAGGTATTTACACGAGTTGCGCAGTGAAATTTAATGGCACCCTCCCTCCACTAGCAGCGCAGACGCGTTTTCGCGCATCCTCCAACAGTGCACAGTTCTAAACGTCGGCCTTCGCACTAGGACACTCGAAAACGCCACTGAGCTTAGAACTTGAACATGGAGCGCTACCGAGTGGAGTGTTTGCTGGGCAAGCATGGTCTACGAGCGGCGCTGGATTTCAGCTACCAGCAGCGCAGATGCGCTTCCGCACCACCACCACCGCCAGCAGCGCCCAGTTCTAAACGTCGGCCTTGGCACGCAACCGCTCGGAAGCGCCACTGCGCTGCGGCTGCCCGTGGCGGCGAGCGTCTAATGCTTCCGCCGGCCCGCCGCGTGGGTGGCCGTGGCGGGGAGACCCGCGACGGCGTCGTGGAAGTCGGGGTCGCCGGGGCGCGGCGGCGTGGTGAGGGCGGTGCCGCCGCCGAGGGAGACGGGGGGCGTGCCAGGGGGGCGGGGCTCGACGGACACGCCCCCCGCGCCCACGCGCACGCACTGGAAGCGCACGACGAGCAGCGTGGTGCCCTGCAGCTGCGCCTCCAGGTCCACGCAGGCGCGCAGCCCGCCCGCCGCCAGCCCCACGTCCGTGAGGCGCACGCACAGCGCCAGCGGCGGGAACTGCGGCACCGGCAGGCACAGCGGCGGCGGCGAGTTCCCTGCACACACACAATCAGAATCGGGCACTTGTTAACCTCTCTCTGAAGTTTTAAAAGATGTCCTTAATTTTGATTTGCAAGACCAATGTTTTATATTGAACAGTTAAAACTGAAATGTTTGCATTTTTTTAATACTCAGATTGAAACAGTGGCACTTTTAAAATCGCGAGCTCCAGTTGGTAACGTCCAAAAATTTACCAAAATTGAACCAAAAAAATTAAGCTGTAACGAAGGACCTGATTGGATGACAATCCCTCTCTCACCTATCCGTCCAGCTCATGACCTTCAAGTGCCAGCATGTTTAAATCGAGTATAATTAAACATTTTAAGGTCGCTTTTCAAACTCTTGGTCATATAGCGACCACTGTGATTTTTAAACTGTAGAGGGAACTGTAGGGAGGAGGGATAAGGACTACAGAAACATCTATGCCCCAAGCGGGATTCCAAACCACGACCCTTCGAGCCGAGGCAGGTATGGCCCTTCAGCTTTAATGACCTCGACTATCCAGGCCGACAAATAAAATTTGCTATTTCTTGTTCTCTCCTCAGGACTATGGAACACATAATTACCCTTTTACTTGCTAGGTTTGATATAGAATTTGATAGAATACACACAAACGAAAATTTTTCAATTTTTGTTTTTAAGTGACCGACACCAATTCCTAGAATTAATAGTGAGGCGGTGATGCAAGAAGTATTTTATACAATTAACAACTAATTTTACAAGTTTTTATAAGTAATATTAAAATCATTTCTGTAAGTTTCTGTCAAAATATTTGCAGTTTTTCGGTGATGGCAAGGGCATATATAGTTTGGAAATTTTCTTTTCTTCCACTATGATACTTTTATTGCACAACTGTTCTCGATATTAAGAAGAGTATGGTGGATGTTAAAGTAGTTCTTTAAAATGAAGACGTGTGCTTCTGTGTCGCTGCGGAAAGCATCGCAAGAGAAGGGAAACGACATGTGGAGGGAGTTCTGTTAGTGCGAGATTGAGAGAACGCGTTTGCGTCAGGATTCTCCTGATGGTGCAGCAAAAGTGGAAATCAGATGTCCCGTGAAATTATATGAATTTGAAACGCCGCACTGCCTATCAGCAGTTCAGCGAAGACCGACCAACACAGTGTATTACGATCAGATAAGTTTATTACAATCAGATAGCCGATAGGTGAGAAGGCAAATCCCGCACGATTGCGCATATAAAAAGAAAGTTTCTAGCAGTATAAGACAGCAAGGGTTACTGGCTAGGACATAAAATCGCTTTTTTTACATGCGTGTTCTGGATGCAAGGGATTTTCATGGGCCACGGCTTCGTTCGACGAGAGATTATGCGGTGTTTGATCATATTTCCCAATATTTCTTCTCATCCTTTGTTCTTCTGTTCTTATTTTTGAGCTTCCTTTGCGTGTTTATGAATTTTGGAATGACCCCCTGACTGGGGCCGCTCCGTGCTTAATCCGCCTTTTTTCATAATTCAGTTACGCACGTTAAGAGAGGAGACGTTATTCTGGAACTCAAGTAAACGTATGCTTTCCCCTATACTACAAACAATATTTACCTATTTCTGATATTTAGTAAATAATTATATGAATATTCTATCAGGATTATACACATCCATCTCTTTTCGATACAATGTATTAAATAAGTCCAACTTGGAGAACTTACACTTATTTTTTATAGAGTTTGTTAGTAAAGCAGGAAGTTACAGAAAATATGAATATTTCATCAAAGTGTGTCGTAAAGAAGTTCATTTAGAGGTTGACATAACTTTTCATTTTAAACGCAGTAATATTGCGCTATTTAATTAAAGACAAACATTCTTTTGAAGTAAATGTTCCTATATTAAGATTTGAATCTTTTCTCTCAAATATATTCAGTGTAAATTGTGATAAAGTTTGGGCATTGATGGGTATCGATATATTAAGATAGCAACTGTCGAATGTAATAAATTACATCGTGAACTCCTGACCATTTAGTCTAAATCAAAGAGGCATAAGAACGTCAGGAATGTTGACGGTACTTGCTTGAGTCAAGCGGAGGCAATTAATTATTTGATGTACCGCTGCTTACCTTTAACAGTTGGTACTCTCGGCAAAAGGAAGTCTATTATAGGCGCGTTCTCAATTTAGAGGTCAAGCAAGCAATATGTTGCATCCGGCGTGTTAAGAATGGCAAGAGATAAAATGCCACCCTATTCTTCACATACCACGAGGTCCATGAACTTTTAATATCCGTTGTAACTTTTATTGCACATACTTTATTATCAAGTGAAATAAGCTCTTATTTTTAATTTTTATTTATTTTGTTGCACCTTGAGGGTCATTATGATATTCATCTCTATCAATGTATTATTTAGATTCTAATGTGCAAGACGGCTTTAACGTAATATTTCAATCTCATTGTCATTAAATCAACTTCTAGAATTTTTGTAATTTGTGAAATAGAACTATTTGTATTTTTAAACATTTCCTTTCTTTGACAAAACAATTTATTAAACTTACTTTTTTGTTAAAAAATTCATTTAATATTGCAATTGTTACGCATTTATTTGCCACCATCTGCCATGCACGCAGTGTAAATTGCATGTCTGCGACCAGGAAGATAATAGACAGTCCGCCTATTATTTGTGAATTTGCCCCAATTTCTCTTCTATAAGTAACAGAAGATATTTCTAACTTCTACGAAGAAGCAAATGTGAATAAATCTCAACTGTTACAATTCTTGCAGCCCATTATACAAGCAACTTCGCACAACCATGCCTTGATTATATTGAAGCAAGCTTTGAATTTTTGAATACAATAATCAACGATTACATATTTTTTCAAGTAAAAGAATGGTATAAATTAAACATTCAGAACTGTAGGCCATCAAATATATTGCATTACAAATATAACAATAAGGTTAAAATCTATCGCCGCTTTCAATTAAAATATGATATCAGGAACACAATAGAAACGTTGATAAGAAATTTACTTTTAAAACTTTTTCTCTGAATACTTTTAAAACAAATACATCAATAATTCAGCATGTGAGCCTCATATCTATGTGTGAGGTTTGTGAATTATATTCAAAGCATACACGTAATCTTGATGTCATAATAATCGGGTATGATAATAATCAGTGGCGGTTTCTCAGGTGGAGTAGGGGTAGTACTTTTTCTCTACCAAGGTTTGCGCAGCATTATAAAACTTTGTCGAAACTGCATACGCAGTAGCGAGAAAGTAAATATTTAAGGAAGAAATTTTTGATGAAAGAAACCCATAATATATTTCCTGTTTCCGTTCTTATTATATTGACTTTACTAGAATCGATGCGTTTTAAATTTTTATTTTAGATTTCATAATAATTTTGTACCAAAAAATGACAACCGGTTTTGTAGTTGTCAATATTTCAACAATTTCCTTCGCATAGTGTTCGGAGATGTCTAAACAAGCATGCGATCTTACCTGAGAGGCTGGATGAGACTATTGTGTTTCCATTCAGAATGATGGCGACCGTGGCTGTTAGGTCTTCTGGATGGAATGTCAGGTTCAGACACACTATAAAAAGACATGAAGTGAGAAGAAATTATTTCTATAGCGCAATTGTTTTATATGCACCAAGTGAGTTATAAGGGTTCTATCGATCGAGCTATGACAAAAGTGAGGACCTTCTGTCGCCGCTCTACCATTAGAAACATTAACTCCCGTGGTAATACTTGATTTTATTTTTTACCTCATTTTATTGATTCAGATTTACTTACTCCATTAACGAATGTTAACATCTCGGTTTGTATTTTCGTATTTCCCTCTCATAACTTCTTTTGATAATTCCCTCCACAAGAGAACACAGCATCATTCAACTGTTTTCGTATTTCCC